ACTTAGGATGTGTGCGCAGGGGGGTCATGAGGAGACTATACAGTTGTATCTGATCGACTCTCCTGCGTACCCGGTGGTGCTGGGAATTCCCTGGTTAAGCACCCATAACCGTGCTATTTCGTGGCAACAGAGGGCTCTCAATGGGTGGTCTGCTCAGTGTGAGGGGCGATGTCTGGGTGTTTCCGTAGGGGCGACTTCGGTGGAAAGTCTAAACCAAGTGCCCGCACTGCACATTCCGCCTGAATATGGGGATTTAGCTCTCGTGTTTAGTAAAGCTAGGGCGACGCAGTTGCCTCCTCATAGACAGGGGGATTGTGCGATTGATCTCCAGGCAGGAGCAGCGCTCCCACGGAGCCACGTGTATCCTTTGTCTCAAGAGGAGAGAAAAGCTATGGAAACTTACATAGCCGAATCTTTGAGACAGGGCGACATACATACCCTCCACTTCTCCCGCCTCCTCGAGCTTCTTTTTTGTGAAGAAAAAAGATGGAGGGTTGCGCCCGTGCATCGATTACCGTGGTCTCAATCAGATTACTGTGAAATACAGTTATCCACTCCCTCTGATTGCGACCATGACGGAGTCATTGCATGGACCGCGGTTTTTCACAAAACTGGATCTCAGGAGCGCGTATAACTTGGTGCGCATTAGGGAGGGCGACGAATGGAAAACAGCGTTTAGTACCACGTCAGGTCATTTCGAGTATCTCGTCATGCCATATGGGTTGATGAATGCTCCATCAGTCTTCCAATCCTTCGTAGATGACATTTTCCGGGATATGCAGGGGCAAGGGGTGGTCGTGTACATTGATGACATTCTAGTGTACTCGTCTACCCGAGCCGAGCATATAGCCCTGGTGCGTCGTGTATTGAGGAGGCTGTTGGAGCACGACCTATATGTCAAGGCAGAGAAATGTCTGTTTTTCCAGGAGTCGGTCTCCTTTTTGGGCTATCGGTTGTCCGCGTCAGGGGTGAGAATGGAGGTGGATCGTGTGTCAGCTGTGCGTAATTGGCAAACCCCAACCACTGTCAAAGAGGTGCAGCAGTTCTTGGACTTTGCGAATTACTACCGGAGGTTTATCCGGGGTTTTGGACAGGTGGCAGCTCCCATCACGTCCCTTCTGAAAGGGGGTCCGGTGCGCCTGCAGTGGTCAGCGGATGCGGACAGGGCCTTTAGGAGACTGAAGGACCTGTTTACGTCGGCTCCGGTGCTGGCGCATCCGGACCCCGCATTACCCTTTCAGGTCGAGGTGGACGCGTCTGAGGCCGGTATAGGGGCCGTACTCTCTCAACGGTCCGGCACGCCTCCTAAACTCCGCCCCTGTGCTTTTTACTCAAAAAAGCTCAGCCCGGCGGAGCGAAATTATGACGTCGGGGACAGGGAGCTGTTAGCTGTAGTTCAGGCCCTTAAGGTGTGGAGGCATTGGCTTGAGGGGGCTCAACACCCTTTCCTCATTTTGACTGACCATCGGAACCTGGAGTACATCCGGGCAGCGAGGAGACTGAACCCTCGCCAGGCTCGATGGAGTATGTTTCTCGCCAGGTTCGTATTTAAAATCACGTACATCCCTGGGTCCCAGAATGGTAAGGCAGATGCGTTGTCCCGGCGGTATGACACGGAGGAGAGGTCCGTTGAGCCTACTCCCATACTACCGGAGTCGTGTCTTGTGGTGTGGGAGGTCGATGCCGAAATCGAGCGAGCGTTGCGTACCGACCCCAGCCCTCCACATTGTCCTGAGGGTCGGAAGTACGTTCCGCTCGAGATTCGGGATCAACTCATTTACTGGGCTCACACGTCACCCTCCTCTGGATATCCGGGTATTGGCCGGACAGTGCATTGTCGTAGCACTAAATACTGGTGATCCACGTTAGCCAGGGATGTGAGGGTTTATGTCTCCTCCTGCTCGGTGTGCGCCCAGTGTAAGGCGCCCAGACACCTGCCCAGGGGTAAGTTACAACCCCTGCCCGTTCCACAACGACCATGGTCCCACCTCTCGGTGGATTTTGTGACAGACCTTCCCCTCTCTCAGGGGAATACCACCATCCTGGTCGTTGTGGACCGGTTCTCTAAGGCCTGTCGTCTTCTCCCTATGTCGGGTCTTCCTACTGCCCTACAAACTGCAGAGGCACTATTTACCCACGTCTTCCGGCATTACGGGGTACCCGAGGATATAGTGTCTGATCGAGGCCCCCAGTTTACCTCCCGAGTATGGAGAGCGTTCATGGAGCGTTTGGGGGTCTCGGTGAGCCTTACCTCAGGGTACCACCCAGAGAGTAACGGGCAGGTAGAACGAGTCAACCAGGATGTGGGTAGGTTTCTGAGGTCGTATTGCCAGGACCGGCCTGAGGAGTGGGCTCGGTACATTCCCTGGGCCGAGATGGCCCAGAACTCTCTCCGCCACTCCTCTACCAACCTAACCCCCTTCCAATGTGTGTTAGGTTACCAGCCGGTTCTGGCACCTTGGCAGGAGAGCCAGATCGAGGCCCCTGCGGTGGATGATTGGATGAGGCCCTCGGAGGAGACGTGGAACGCTGCACACGTCCACCTGCAGCGGGCCATCCGTCGTCACAAGGCGAGCGCCGATCTCCACCGCAGTGAGGGGCCGGTGTACGCACCCGGAGATCGAGTCTGGCTCTCTACCAGAAACCTACCCCTACGCCTGCCCTGCCGGAAGCTGGGTCGGCGGTTTGTGGGGCCTTTTAAAGTCCTGAGAAGATTGAACGAGGTGTGTTATAGGTTACATCTGCCTGTTGAATATAAGAATATTAACCCCTTGTTCCATGTGTCTCTTCTCAGGCCGGTGGTAGGTGGTCCACTCCAGGAAGGTGAGATAGGAGAGACTCCTCCGCCCCCACTGAACATCGAGGGGGCTCCGGCGTACACCGTTCGGTCCATCTTGGACTCAAGACGCCGGATGGGGGGTCTCCAGTATCTCGTGGAGTGGGAGGGGTACGGCCCGGAGGAGCGGTGCTGGGTGCCGCGGAGGGACATCCTAGACCCATCTCTCCTGTCGGAGTTCCACCGGGACCATCCCGCGCGCCCTGCTCCGCGCCCTCCTGGTCATCCCCGAGGCCGGGGTCGGCGCACGGCTGGAGCCGCGCGTCAAGGGGGGGGTACTGTCACGGTTTCGGCCGAGGCTTCCTCCTCCTCCTTGTTCGGGCAGGTTTCGGCGGTCGTCGTCCCCGGAGTACTAGCTGCCACCGATCTATGTTTCATGTTCGTTTGGTTTTGTCTTGATGTTGTACACCTGTGTCTAGTTAGTCCTCATTAGTGTCCTATTTAGTTCTCGTTGTGTGTGATTGCTCTTCTGTTTTGGTGTTCTGAGCTACGTACTTCCCTCCGTTGTTTGGAGAGGTTTTCGCACATGTTAGTGCGCCTTTTGTTTGAAGCCTGTGTGCGCCTTTATTTCGCCTCCGGGCTTATTGTGCTCGTGTACTACGTGAAAAATTCACTAAAGTCTTTTGGACTTAGCTTCTGCGTCCTGCGCTTGATTCCTGCACCACACCCACCTTCAGCACCCCTGACATATACAAAATACTAGGCTCCTGTCAATTATATTGTTGCCTATGTCCGAGACACATTGTCAAAAGAATCTGCCATTAATATGGCATGATAGGAGGACTGAATAGTTTGGAGGAGCGGGTCTTTGGTAATCGGACGAGGGGCGCTCTTTGAAAATGGGGATGGATAGCCTACTTGAACAATCAAAATAAAGTATGCAGGTATGTGAATTGTGAATCATGAAAAAGCATGAGGGCAAAAAACCTCCAAAATATTTCAAGGCACTCTCAGCAGACCATTTAAAACCGCTTCATTCATAGACTACTTGGCTAATGTATGGCCAGGATAAAAAATATGTACCTATGCGAAGCTGCTAAACCAGCTTTGATTAATAAGGGGAGGGTAGGCTATGCTTGGTTTTTAATCAAATTAAATGAAATGGGGGGAAACCAATAGTTTTTTATGTTTCTTAATACGAGATCAACTGGCACAAATGGCACATCTCTCCTTCCATGGGCTCTGTGCTTCATTGCTGGATAGGCTGCGCTTCTGCTCTCAAAATCCATGCCATTATCAACTGCTTTACATGAAGACCTGCTTTTTGGTGGGACTTAAAATTTCTTAAAGGTGGACTGCTTATTTGTAATCTCATATTCATTATCTCCAGCACCATACCAGTGTCTTCATATCCATTGAGTATACAACATCTTGTATACTCCATGCCCGTTGAATTTAGGCTGTTTTGAGGGCAAAAGGGGGGGTGCAACTCAATATTAGGAAGGTGAAAACAGCAATAAAGGATGCGGTTAAAAAACTGTGAAGCGTACCTTTATAATTTCTTCTCAGAACAGGCGGTGGGTGTAAGATTATCTGAAAATCTTAAGAATTTGAAAATAAGTCGAGTTTTTCACCCATTTGGGTCACAACCACATACTACCCCACATCCATATTGATAGGATTTATGTTTCCATGACAATATATTTAAGTGACATCACAGCATTGAGCAGTTATAGAGGTTTTCTGAGAGGCTCAGCTCTCCAATCTTACATTTACATTTTAGTCATTTAGCAGACACTCTTATCCAGAGCGACTTACAGTTAGTGAATACATATTTTTTTTATACTGGCCCCCCGTGGGAATCGAACCCACAACCCTGGCGTTGCAGACACCATGCTCTATCAACTGAGCTACATCCCTGCCGGCCATTCCCTCCCCTACCCTGGGCCAATTGTGCGTCGCCCATGAGTCTCCCGGTCGCGGCCGGCTGCAACAGAGCCTGGATTCGAACCAGGATCTCTAGTGGCACAGTTAGCACTGCGATGCAGTGCCTTAGACCACTGCACCACTCAGGAGACATATAGAAGACCTCAGCAACGAACTTCAGAGTGAACGAATCTGCTGAGCAAGACGCAGTTAGGGATATAGCATTTTGATGGGCATGGATATCGTGGATATCGTGGAAATGGTGGAGGTCGTGGGCATTGCCCTGTGAGTCATAGGATTAATACTTACCATTGTGATCTGTGCACTCCCCACCTGGATAGAGACAACCTTCATAGCAGCTAACTTTACCACCACAGAGGTGTACTTGCGCGGCCTGTGGATGAGTTGTGTGACCCAAAGCACGGGACAGACACAGTGTAATGTGCACAACTTAAGGGGGAACAGGCCCCCCAGTATGGAGTATGCCGGAGCCATGATCCTCACTGCCATCATCCTGGGAGTTCTGGGGGTCACGGTCTCCATGGTTGGAGCCAAGTGCACCAACTGCATCAAAGAACAAACGTCTCAGGCCAAGTTGATAATTATCTCTGCAATACTTTTCATGCTGGCCGTTATTCTCATCCTCATCCCTGTTTCCATGGTAGCCAGATCAATCAACAGTGACTACTCCAAGTGGATCGGAGGGAAGACTGAGCTAAGGGCCTCGCTGTACTTCGGCTGGGGGGCGGCCGCCCTGCTCCTGATTGGAGGTTTCATACTGTGCATCACTGTGGGAGTCTTTGGATGGATGATGGGAATCTGTGGATGGGTTGTCTCCCTAGTGCCCTGTTATATGACTATATTTGGCCCATATAGGGACATACGGATGGATATGCTGAAGATCACCTCCATCTCCACCATCCTGGGAGCTCTAGGAGTGATGGGGTCCATCTTTGGGACCAAGTGCTGTAACTGCATCAAGAGTAACAGGACCAGGGTCAAGGCCAGGTTCATCGTTGGAATATTCTTTATCCTGTCTGGTATCCTGCAGCTATCCACTATCTTATTGGTCTGTTACTTGACACAGAACATTCCAGAATACAGGAGGGAGTATATATTATTTTCCACTGAATTCTGTAGATGGTCCGCCTCCATGCTCCTGATAGGAGGGACCATACTCTGCTGCAGCACCTTGAAGAGGAAGAACCCAGACTCGACAACGACTACATCAGCCTCCCACTAATGTCTCTGTCCAGAAGCTGTACCTTCTTGTTATAAAAACCATAGGGGATCCAAGAATTGTGATTCTATATGTAATTATATGATGAAAAATGGCCTCTATCCTATCTGTTCAATGTTAGAATATCAGAAGGGACTAGATAGGTGTGAAAGCAACATCGTTATTGTTCCACCTTCTCTTTAACAGGTCAAAGGGGAGTTTATGACATATTGTGTTCAAACATTCAGTTAATTTAGACTGTGAGAAGTTGTTCCTGAGGAGACTACAATGAAGGGAAGTATTCTCACTGATACTTCTCTTGATGTTTCTTTAAAATGGGATGAATTTAAGTGGAGAAAGAGTTGAATCAGAAGTTGATTGTTTAACTCTGTTAAAGATGTTCAAATAAAAAAGCGTATCTGACTGCAAAGCGTTTCCTGGTTGCTGCCGTGTATTTCCTGTTTATGTTCACCACGTTAACCACAAGCTACAGTCAGTGACTGGGACCTTCTGACTGAAACATATATCATAGTGTAGAATTATATCAAGCCATGTCCATGAAACTGTTATCATTAGTCTATGTAGTCTATTGTATAGTTCATTTCAGTCCATCAATCCAACCTTACAATTATTTATTACACACTCAAGGGTTTTTCAGCATGTAGTTTTAATCTAACTCTGAATATCACCAGTATCTCCCTCAAGCGGGTCTCAACCACATACTGCCCAACATCTGAATGAATAGGTTGTTTTCATGACAACATATTTAAGTGACATCCCAGCATCACGTAGATGTAGTGGCCTTTTAACTAACCCAGATCTCCAGTTACAGTAGAATCAGAAGGTGAGAACATGTAGAAGATAATGTAATGTTGTTCTAGAACTTTGTTGGTAAATCCTGGGGGTTTTGGGGGTCAAGGTCTACGTGGTCGGAACCAAGTGCACCAACTGCATCAAAGAATAAACTTCTCAGGCCAAGTTGATAATCATCTCTGGAAAACGTTTCATCCTGGCCGGAATTTTCATCCTCATCCCTGTTTCCATGGTAGCCATTTCAATCATCAGTGATTCCTCCACTAGGATTGGAGGAAAGACTGAGCTGGGGGCCTTGCTGTACTTCGGCTGGGGGCGGCCGCCCTGCTCCTGGGCATGGGCACAGGCAAGTGTTTTGGGTTACTTGGCTCAATTCAATAGGTGGTCCGCCTCCATGCTCCTGATAGGAGGGACCATACTCTGCTGCTGCATCTTCAAGAGGATCCAGACAGACTCAACAACGACTCAATCAACGTCTTGCTAGCAGCTCTGTCTGCAAAAGGTCATAGAGGAGTTTATGTCATATTGTGGTTGGGACCATAGTCTGGTGCAGCTGCTGCTGCTACGGCTTTAAGAGAGACATTCCCAACTTCCCAACTCACTTAAATTCCATCACTGGTATCTCATATGATCTTATGTTACCATAGCCCAGTGTTTCTCCATATAAGTGCACAGAATTAGTCTTCAAAAAGTTTTAGGGGAGCTTGTGCAATATTGCCATATTGCTTACTTTTGCCAGGCAACAACAAAACAGTTGGGCTAGAAACAGGCTCACCAGTTCCTCACACAGGGTAACGACCACACACTTCACCACATCTGTACAGGTTGTGTTTCCATGGCAGCAGATGACGTCAAGCGCCCTTGGGCTTCTGACTGGCCGGGCTCTCTAGTATCACAGAAGAACTCTGCAACAAACATCTGTGAGAAAAGAACGTTGAACAATCTGCTGTTTTAGAACTTTGCTTGCAAAGAACGAAGCTGTAGGCCTGTAGAATCCAGGATCGTCTCTGGAAATATAACATCTCCACTGTTCTGGAGTCTCTTTGTTGAGTCACATCCTTGTTCTTCCAGGAAGTGCATGTTGATGGGCATGGAGATCGTGGGCATCACTATGGGAGTAATGGGATGGATTGTCTCCATAGTGGCCTGTGCTTTGTTTACATCGGGATTGATGGACTTTCCACAGTACAGAGAGGTCAGACTAATTCAGATCATCACCTACTTCTCCATTATTCTAGGGTTGCTAGGGATGATACTCTCCATCTCAGCTACAGTGCACCAACTGTACCCAGAGAAATATGAATATGTCTAAAGTTGAAGTGATTATCTTTGGCAGAATATTCTTCATCCTGGCTGGTCTCATCCACCTGATCTTGATCTTCTTGGTTGCCCTTGACTTGACACTAAACTCGGACCATGAGATCTTCCTGCGGAGTAATAACCTGATGTTCTCAGCTGAATTTAATAGGTGGGCCTCTTCACTGCTTCTGATAGGAGGGACCATAGTCTGCTGCTGCTTCATGAGAAAAGCCTGAATTAACAACTGTCTCTGATTCCCTAAATCGTGTCTTACACAACCTTTTAATTCATCTGTGCCATTCTACCACTCTAAGCAATAGGTTGTAAGCAATACATACAGTATAGTTGAAAGCAATATGATTATTGATAATGGCTACACTTAAAATGTTAGTCTTCAATGCAGACTTTGATCAGTTGAATCAGGTGTGTTACTGCCTGGCTGGAACAAAAGCCTGCACCCACACTGGCACTTCAGGGACTGATATTGTTCTTTGAATCAGTAACCCTTACTAAAAATGGCCACATAAAATATATTGCCATGTGTTGAATCATTGATGCACAGAATCGACTCACAGTTACCACATCCTTTTAAAACCACTTGAGAGGGAGATGTAAGCATGCTGTCTAAGGGCTGGGGTTGAAGAGGAATGTTTCTATAGGTGGTGGAAATACCACCAAATTAAACAACTTTTCCATTATTAATTACAATAAAATGCAACTCTTATTAAATTGCAAATCTTGTGCTGTCTCCTGACTTCATTTGGTGGAACCTCGTTCTTCTTCCTACCCCGTGGTCTGAGTTGATAACCAGAAGTTAGTGGGTCAAAAATACGATTCCATCATCGCCAATGTAAGCTAGGGTGGACTTAGCGATTTGGGAGCCCATTTCAAAATGCCTTTGAGGGGACCCCCTACCCACCAAAATGGACATTTCCCCTATAAATGAACCGCTAAAATTATTAATGTGCGTTAATTTCTTATTTATTTCAGGCAATTATGAAATGTAAACACCCTATAAAGCTGTGGCTTACACATTTGGGTAAAAACAACTGTCAGAATCAGTCGGTAAGGGCCCAATGACAGCTGTGTGTAAGTTACTTTCTGTTTTCACACCCATCACTTCCTCTCTGTTTCTGTCCTGCCAACCCTAGGCCAAGTTTACACCTGACATCTCTCATCGAACGCAGACATCAGCCTGACCTATTTACCATAAACGCTCAACTTCACGTCTGCTTCATTAGTTTCTCACTATGGTTTCCTGTAAAAGGGCAAAAGAAATTGGTCTATCTGTTCATATCAACTGATTTAAATTTAAACCTAACTGTGTTTTCCCCATTTGGTCACAGCTGCAGACGTAATTATGACTTCTTCCTAATATTTGATGGTAATTCTGAAGTTGAGTTGATATCACCAGGCTCCCCATTTCTACCTAGTTCCTTATAGGTGTCTGTGTCTGAGTAGTGAGGAACTACAAGGACATAGTTTTGATCTGGTTCTGTTCGTAAAGTCATTTTCAGTAGAAATGAAAAAGTCAGGGATGAACGGCATACAGTGTTGTATTTTTGTTTACAGCTCCTTTATTGCAGTAGGGTCACCCAGGGATCTTATGAAATATATTGTGTTGGTGTGTGTTGGGTCTCATATTCCTCAGCAGGAACCAAGAGGTTTAAGGAAATGTATTTGGATGTACACTGACTCTCTGTGTGTTGATCTGCCCTTTACAGACCTCCCCATAGAGTGTAAACAACTGTTCTATTTCTACTGACCTTCTGTGTATGTAGACAGACAGGCAGGCAGACAGACAGACAGACAAAGAAAGGCAGTGTATAGCCAATATACATGTCCCTGAACTCAGCCAATCCTTTATGAAGAATATGAACTCGTCTACATGATGCTGCTTTGATTTGAGTCATAACTTTGTGTTCCTGTGAACACCTGTCCTTGACTGCGCCACAAATGGAACCCTATTCCCTACATAGTAAACTACTTTTGACTAGAGCCCTATGTTTGGGTCCTCCACCTTGTCCTTTATCCCTGAGTGAAGGGTCATTCATCCTTGAGGGAAGGGTCCTATATCCCAGAGGGAGGAGTGTTTTATCCCTGAGTGAAGGGTCTTTTATCCCTGAGGGAAGAGTGTTTTATCCCTGAGGAAAGGGTCCTTTATTTATCCCTGGGGGAAGGGTCCTTTATCTCTGAGGGAAGAGTACTTTATCCCTGAGGGAAGAGTCCTTTATCCCAGAGGGAAGGGTCCTTTATCCTTGAGGGAAGGGTCCTATATCCCAGAGGGAAGAGTGTTTTATCCCTGAGTGAAGGGTCCTTTATCCCTGAGGGAAGAGTGTTTTATCCCTGAGGAAAGGGTCCTTTATTTATCCCTGGGGGAAGGGTCCTTTATCTCTGAGGGAAGAGTACTTTATCTCTGAGGGAAGGGTACTTTATCCTTATTTATACTATAAGAGGATATGAAATCCAGACTTTGTATGTCTTGTTAGACCAATATACACTGCATTCGGAAGGTATTCAAACACCTTGAACTTTTAAACATTTTGTTACGTTACAGCCTTATTTTATAATGTATTAAATCGTTTTTTCCCCTCATCAATATACACACAATACCTCATAATGACAAAGCAAAAACACTACACTACAACTATGAAACTACAAGCTTGGCACACCTGTATTTGGGGAGTTTCTCCCATTCTTCTCTGCAGATCCTCTCAAGCTCTGTCAGGTTGGATGGGGAGCGTCGCTACACAACTATTCTCAGGTCTCTCCAGAGATGTTCGACCGGGTTCAAGTCCAGGCTCTGGCTGTGCCACTAGGGAACATTCAGAGACTTGTCCTGAAGCCACTCCTGCGTTGTCTTGGCTGTGTGCTTAGGATCGTTGTTCTGTTGGAAGGTGACCCTTCGCCCCAGTCTGGGGTCCTGAGCGCTCTGGAGCAGGTTTTAATCAAGGATCTCTCTGCACTTTGCTCCATTCATTTTTCCCTCGATCCCGACAAGTCTCCCAATCCCTGCCGCTGAAAAACATGTTGCCACCACCATGCTTCATTCAGGCCAAAGAGTTAAATCTTGGATTAATCAGACCAGAGAATCTTGTTTCTCCTGGTCTGAGAGTCTTTAGGTGCCTTTTTTGGAAAACGGGCTGTGTTACTGAGGAGTGGCTTCCGTCTGGCCACTCTACCTTAAAGGCCTGATTGGTGGAGTGGTGCAGAGATGGTTGCCCTTCTGGAAGGTTCTCCCATCTCCACAGACGAACTCTGGAGCTCTGTCAAAGTGACCATCGAGTTCTTGGTCACCTCCCTGACCAAGGCCCTTCTCCCCTATTGCTCAGTTTGGCAGGGCAGCCAGCTCTATGAAGAGTCTTGGTGGTTCCAAACTTCTTCCATTTAACAATGATGGAGGCCACTGTGTTCTTGGGGACCTTCAATGCTGCAGACATTTTTTGGTACCGTTCCCCAGATCTGTGCCTCGACACAATCCTATCTCTGAGTTCTAAGGACAATTCCTTCGACCTCATGGCTTGTGTTTTGCTCTGACATGCACTGTCAGCTGTGGGACCTTATATAGACAGGTGTGTGCCTTTCCAAATCATGTTGAATCAATTGAATTTACCACAGGTGGACTCCAATCAAGTTGTAGAAACATCTCAAGGATGATCAATGGAAACAAGATGCACCCGAGCTCAATTTGGAGTCTTGTAGCAAAGGGTCTGAATACTTATGTAAATAAGGTATGTTTTTTTGTTAGTTTTTTACACATTTTCAAAAATCTCAAAATAATTGTATTTGCTTAGTCATTATGGGGTATTGTGTGTAGATTGATGAGGGAAAAAAACAATTTAATCAATTTTAGAACAAGTATGTAATGTAACAAAATGTGGAAAAAGTCAAGGGATCTGAATACTTTCTGAATGCACTGTAATGGCCAAGTGGGTAACAGCAAGGCCAAGGTCTTTAGTGATGTCTCAGCACTGACTGACTGACCGACTGACCATTAGCTGTCTGTCAACGACACTGGGATTTACACAGAACAACATGAACTGCTTTAGTGCCACTGCACCAGTTGTATAACGCTCATAGACACTTAGCCTACCTACCTGTCTCTTTCTGACCTGTGTTCAATACACACCTACCTGTCTCTTTCTGACCTGTGTTCAATACTCACCTACCTGTCTCTATCTGACCTGTGTTCAATACTCACCTACCTGTCTCTTTCTGACCTGTGTTCAATACTCACTTACCTGTCTCTTTCTTACCTGTGTTCAATACTCACTTACCTGTCTCTTTCTGACCTGTGTTCAATACTCACCTACCTGTCTCTATCTTACCTGTGTTCAATACTCACCTACCTGTCTCTTTCTGACCTGTGTTCAATACTCACCTACCTGTCTCTATCTTACCTGTGTTCAATACTCACCTACCTGTCTCTTTCTTACCTGTGTGCAACAATAATGGTGTTCATAAACTCCTGTGAGATTTATAGAGACATAAAAAGAAAAAGCCCATCCAACGCTAAGTGATGTCACTCTTCTAGAACCACCCAGAGCTGTAGTATGCATACCAAGTAGATATCTGGTAGTTCAGAGGGTCACTCTTCTAGAACCACCCAGAGCTGTAGAATGCATACCAAGTAGATATCTGGTAGTTCAGAGGGTAACTCTTCTAGAACCACCCAGAGCTGTAGAATGCATACCAAGTAGATATCTGGTAGTTCAGAGGGTAACTCTTCTAGAACCACCCAGAGCTGTAGAATGCATACCAAGTAGATATCTGGTAGTTCAGAGGGTAACTCTTCTAGAACCACCCAGAGCTGTAGTATATTTGTTTTACTCTCCTGGTTGCGATCAAACAATTGATTCCCGTTCAAAATCATTTTTTCCCTAAACCCTAACCCTTAACCTAACCCTAACCTTATCTCCCCCACCAACTTCCCACTTGCTGACTGCTAGCTCTAAGTGCACTCCTCTGGACAACACTCTGTCTGTCTTCCATGCCTGGTATTACAACAGACTGGACATGTGTGGTCTATAGAGTGGATTTGAGATACAGTTTTGCCAATAGGCTCCTGCTGAAAATTCTGCCTTCATCAGGAAAAACATGAAGACTGATTGGGTTATGGTGGTTGGCTTGAAAAAAAATACAGACACCCGATTAGTTTATGCTTGGCAGTGAGTTCTTTGAATATGATCAAGGCTGGAAAATAGGACCCCCCCCCCCTTCTGCTTAAGTTACTTCCTTTTCACAGATCTGATAGGAAAGGATAGGTGAAAGCAATATGGCAGAATCGAGGTGGGGTTGTCCATCAATCACACTCTAGGCACATCATGTAGATCTGAGATGCATAAAGTAGCTTCACCTTGCCATCTCATATACTGTAGGTATGGAATTACACACACACACCTCTCTCTCTCTCTCTCTCTCTCTCTCTCTTTCTCTCTCTCGTTCTCTCTCTCTCTCTCTCTCTCTCTCTCTCTCTCTCTCTCTCTCTCTCTCTCTCTCTCTCTCTCTCTCTCTCTCTCTCTCTCTCTCTCTCTCTCTCTCTCTGACCTAATATCTTTAAACCAACCCCTGCAGTGGTTTCATTCACCAGTCAGGTGTCTAGCGTCCTGGCAGGCTGTGAAGCAACCCCTAACCTCAGACATGCATGTGGTAGTATATGACTAAGTAAGTACTGGTGCTGTTTGAATCATTTCATCTGGGCAGTTTATAAATGTGAATAAACGTATAAACCCATACACCTGTAGGCCAAGGACCAGGTCAGACTGGTTCAGCTGTACACAGGTGTTGTAGCTCCCATTTAAGTACGAAGGCAGCATGCAGCGCTCCATACTCCATTACTTTAAAATCACTATCTAATTGCTGTTATGTTTTATATCTGTTGCCTTCGTACTTCAATGAAACTAGTTTATAAAATTGAACCTGCAACATGATTCAGTGTTTTTAAAAACATTCCTATTTGTAGTTAAAGAACATATAACAAAGCTACTTGTCAATGGCTGCAGACATGTCAGGCATTTCTATTAACCCTTTTATAACAACAGTGAACCGTTCTTTCTTTCTTTACATATCCTAGGGCTCTATTAAAAATCCCAATAGTAAATCTTAGCGAATGCATTGGGCAGGACAAAAAAAAGCCTTCATTGAGGAGGTTATGCTTGGTTTTTAATCAAATTGTTTGAAAAACAAGCAATCTAATTTTTAAAACAACAACAATATTTCTAAATAGGATGGGGTCAGAAGCAAGATTTCATTAATCTCATTTCTCTCGTTCCATGGCATTATGTCCACTCGTAGGCCTAAATGTCTTTATGCAAAACATTTACACTAATATACAAAATACTAGGCTCCTGTCAATTATATTGTTGTCTATGTGCAAGACACATTGTCAAAACAATCTGCCATTAATATGACATTATAGGAGGACAGAATAGTTTGGAGGAGCGGGTCTTTGGTAATCGGACGAGGGGCGCTCTTTGAAAATGGGGATGGATAGCCTACTTGAACAATCAAAATTAAGTAGGCAGGTATGTGAATTGTTTATCATAAAAAAGCATGAGGGCAAAAAAACTCAAATATTTCAAGGCACTCTCAGCAGACCATTTAAAACCCCTTCATTCATAGGCTACTTGGATATTGTATGGCCAGGATAAAATATATGTACCTTTGCGAAGCTGCTAAACCAGCTTTAATTAATTAAGGGGAGGGTAGGCTATGCTTGGTTTTTAATCAAATTAAATGAAATGGGGGGAAACCAATAGTTTTTTATGTTTCTTAATACGAGATCAACTGGCACAAATGGCACATCTCTCCTTCCATGGGCACTGTGCTTCATTGCTGGATAGGCTGCGCTTCCGCTCTCAAAATCCATGCCATTATCAACTGCTTTACATGAAGACCTGCTTTTTGGTGGGTCTTAACATTTCTTAAAGGTGGACTGCTTATTTGTAATCTCATATTCATTATCTCCAGCACCACACCAGTGTCTTCATATACATTGAGTATACAAAATCTTGTATTCTCCATGCCCGTTGAATTTAGGCTGTTTTGAGGGCAAAAGGGGGGGTGCAACTCAATATTAGGAAGGTGAAAACAGCAATAAAGGATGCGGTTAAAAAACTGTGAAGTGTACCTTTATAATTTATTCTCAGAACAGGCGGTGGGTGTAAGATTATCTGAAAGTCTTGAGAGTTTGAAAATAAGTCGAGTTTTTCACCCATTTGGGTCGCAACCACATACTACCCCACATCCGTATTGATAGGATTTATGTTTCCATGACAATATATTTAAGTGACATCACAGCATTGAGCAGTTATAGAGGTTTTCTGAGTGGCTCAGCTCTCCAATCTTATAGAAGACCTCAGCAACGAACTTCAGAGTGAACGAATCTGCTGAGCAAGACGCAGTTAGGGATATAGCATTTTGATGGGCATGGATATCGTGGAAATGGTGGAGGTCGTGGGCATTGCCCTGGGAGTCATAGGATTAATACTTACCATCGTGATCTGTGCACTCCCCACCTGGATAGAGACAACCTTCATAGCAGATAACTTTGCCACCACAGAGGTGCACTTGCTTGGCCTGTGGATGAGTTGTGTGACCCAAAGCACGGGACAGACACAGTGTAATGTGCACAACTTAAGGGGGAACTGGCCCCACAGTATGGAGAATGCCGGAGCCATGATCATCACTGCCATCATCCTGGGGGTTCTGGGGGTCACGGTCTCCATGGTTGGAGCCAAGTGCACCAACTGCATCAAAGAACAAACGTCTCAGGCCAAGTTGATAATTATATCTGGAATACTTTTCATCCTGGCCGGAATTCTCATCCTCATCCCTGTTTCCATGGTAGCCAGATCAATCAACAGTGAAAACTCCAAGTGGATCAGAGGGAAGGCTGAGCTGGGGGCCTCGCTGTACTTCGGCTGGGGGGCGGCCGCCCTGCTCCTGATTGGAGGTTTCATACTGTGCATCACTGTGGGAGTCTTTGGATGGATGATGGGAATCTGTGGATGGGTAGTCTCCCTAGTGCCCTGTTCTATCATTATATTGGGCCCCCATGGGTATGGTCCTGAACACTATAGGCACATATGGATGGATATGCTGAAGATCACCTGCATCTCCACCATCCTGGGAGCTCTAGGAGTGATGGGGTCCATCTTTGGGACCAAGTGCTGTAACTGCATCAAGAGTAACAGGACCAGGGTCAAGGCCAGGTTCATCGTTGGAATATTCTTCATCCTGGCTGGTATCCTGCAACTCACCACTGTCTTCTTGGTCTATTACTTGACACAGAATATTCCAGAATACTGGAGGGAGTATATGTTATTTTCCACTGAATTCTGTAGATGGTCCGCCTCCATGCTCCTGATAGGAGGGACCATACTCTGCTGCAGCACCTTGAAGAGGAAGAACCCAGACTCAACAATGACTAAATCTGCCTCCCACTAATGTCTCTGTCCAAAAGCTGTACTTTCTTGTTATAAAAACCATAGGGATCCAATAATTGCAATTCTATACGTAATTATATGATGAAAAATTGCCTCTATCCTATCTGTTCAATGTTAGAATATCAGAAGGGACTAGATAGGTGTGAAAGCAACATCGTTATTGTTCCACCTTCTATTTAACAGGTCAAAGGGGAGTATGACATATTGTGTTAAAATATTCAGTTAATTTAGACTGTGAGGAGAAGTTCCTGAGGAGACTACAATGAAGGGACATATTCTCACTGTTACCTCGCTGTACTTCGGCTGGGGGCGGCCGACCTGCTCCTGGTGCATTAATAGAGACATTCCCAACTTAACAACTCACTTAAATTCCATAACTGGTATCTTGTATGATCTTATGTTACCATAGCCCAGTGTTTCTTAATATAAGTGCACAGAATTAGTCTTCAAAAGTCTTAGGGGAGCTTGTGCAATATTGCCATATTGCTTACTTTTGCCAGGGCAACAACAAAACAGTTGGGGTAGAAACAGGCTCACTAGTTCCTCACACACAGTAACGACCTGTCACACCCTGGCTCTGGGACTCATTATGTTGAGCCAGGGTGTGTTCATTCTATGTGTTCTGTTTCTATGTTGGGTGTTCTAGTTCGTCATTTTCTATGTTTGACTGAGTGACTCCCAATCAGAGGCAACGAGTGTCAGCTGTTTGCTGGTTGTCTCTGATTGGGAGCCATATTTAAACTGTATGTTTTCCCTTGGGTGTTGTGGGTTTTTGTTCCGTGTCGGTATTTGTTTACCGTGGACTTCACGAGTCGTGTTTTGTTTGGTATACTTTACTAATTAAAGTCATGTTTGTTTCACACGCTGCGCCTTGGTCTACTCACTCCTCTAACGATCGTGACACGACCACACACTTCACCACATCTGTACAGGTTGTGTTTCCATGGCAGCAGATGATGTCAAGCGCCCTTGGGCTTCTGACTGGCCGGGCTCTCTAGTATCACAGAAGAACTCTGCAACAAACATCTGTGAGAAAAGAACGTTGAACAATCTGCTGTTTTAGAACTTTGCTTGCAAAGAATGAAGCTGTAGGCCTGTAGCATCCAGGATCTTCTCTGGAAATATAACATATTCACTGTTCTGAAGTCTCTTTGTTGAGTCACATCCTTGTTCTTCAAGGAAGTGCATGTTGATGGGCATGGAGATCGTGGGCATCACTATGGGAGTAATGGGATGGATTGTCTCCATAGTGGCCTGTGCTTTGTTTACATCGGGATTGATGGACTTTCCACAGTACAGAGAGGTCAGACTAACTCAGATCATCACCTACTTCTCCATTATTCTAGGGTTGCTAGGGATGATACTCTCCATCTCAGCTACAGTGCACCAACTGTACCCAGAGAAATATGAATATGTCTAAAGTTGAAGTGATTATCTTTGGCGGAATATTCTTCATCCTGGCTGGTCTCATCCACCTGATCTTGATCTTCTTGGTTGCCCTTGACTTGACACCAAACTCGGACCATGAGAACTTCCTGCGGAGTAATAACCTGATGTTCTCAGCTGAATTTAATAGGTGGGCCTCTTCACTGCTTCTGATAGGAGGGACCATAGTCTGCTGCTGCTTCATGAGAAAAGCCTGAGTTGACAACTGTCTCTGATTCCCTAAATCGTGTCTTACACAACCATAATTTATCTGAGCCATTCTACCACTCTAAGCAATAGGTTGTAAGCAATACATACAGTATAGTTGGAAGCAATATGATGATTGATAATGGCTACACTTTAAATGTTAGTCTTCAATGCAGACTTTGATCAGTTGAATCAGGTGTGTTATTGCCTGGCTGGAACAAAAGCCTGCACCCACACGGGCACTTTCAGGGACTGATAATGTTCTTTGAATCAGTAATCCTTACTAAAAATGGCCACATAAAAAATATTGCCATGTGTTGAATCAGTGATGCACAGAATAGACTCACAGTTACCACTTCCTTTTAAAACCACTTGAGAGGGAGATGTAAGCATGCTGTCTAAGGGCTGGGGTTGAAGTGGGATGTTTCTATAGGTGGTGGAAATACCACCAAATTAAACAACTTTTCCATTATTATTTACAATAAAATGCAACTCTTTTTAAATTGCAACTCTTGTGCTGTCTCCTGACTTCATTTGGTGGCACCTCGTGCTTCTTCCTACCCCAGGGTTGTTTCTGGACTGGGCCAAGGTCTTATCATGGTCTAGGTAGTACGTACGTGGTCTGAGTTCTTAACCAGATGTTAGTGGGTCAAATATAAGATTCCATCATCGCCAATGTAAGCTAGGGTGGACTTAGCGATTTGGGAGCCCATTTCAAAATGCCTTTGAGGAGACCCCCTACCCGCCAAAACGGACATTCCACTGTAAATGAACCGCTATAATTATTCATGTGCGTTAAGTTTTTATTTTATTTCAGGCCATTATGAAATGTAAATGCCCTTTAAAGCTGTGGCTAACACATTTGGGAAAAACAACTGTCAGAATCAGTCGGTAAGGGCCCCATGACAGCTGCGTGCAAGTTACTTGTTGTTTTCACACCCATCACTTCCTGTCTGTTTCTGTCCTGCCAACCCTAGGCCAAGTTTACACCTGACATCTCTTATCGAACGCAGACACCAGCCTGACCTATTTACCATAAGCGCTCAACTTTACGTCTGCTTCATTAATTTCTAACTATGGTTTCATGTAAAAGGGCAAAATAAATTGGTCTATCTGTTCATACCAACTGATTTAGATTTAAACCTAACTGTGTTTTCCCCATTTGGTCACAGCTGCAGACGTAATTATGACTTCTTCCTAATATTTGATAGTAATTCTGAAGTTGAGTTGATATCACCAGGCTCCCCATTTCTACCTAGTTCCTCATTGGTGTCTGTGTCTGAGTAGTGAGGAACTACAAGGACATAGTTTTGATCTGGTTCTGTTCGTAAAGTCATTTTCAGTAGAAATGAAAAAGTCAGGGATGAACGGCATACAGTGTTGTATTTTTGTTTACAGCTCCTTTATTGCAGTAGGGTCACCGAGGGATCTTATGAAATATATTGTGTTGGTGTGTGTTGGGTCTCATATTCCTCAGCAGGATCCAAGAGGTTTAAGGAAATGTATTTGGATATACACTGACTCTCTGTTTTGATCTGCCCTTTACAGATCTCCCCATAGAGTGTAAACAACTGTTCTATTTCTACTGACCTTCTGTGTGTGTAGACAGACAGACAGACAGACAGACAGACAGACAGACAGACAGACAGACAGACAGACAGACAGACAGACAGACAGACAGACAGACAGACAGACAGACAGACAGACAGACAGACAGAGAAAGGCAGTGTATAGCCAACATACATCTCCCTGAACTCAGCCATTTCTTTATGAAGAATATGAACTGTTCTACTCTTCTGGATTTTTGGGGGGTTCGTATCATTTGATTTACACAACATGCCTACCACTTTGAAGATGCAAAATATTTCATTGTGAAACAAAGAAGAAATAAAACTTGAGCGTGCATAACTATTCACCCCCCCCCCAAAGTCAATACGTTGTAGAGCCACCTTTTGCAGCAATTACAGCTGCAAGTCTCTTGGGGTATGTCTCTATAAACTTGGCACATCTAGCCACTGGGATTTTTGCCCATTCTTCAAGGCAAAACTGCTCCAGGTCTTTTCAAATTGGATGGGTTCCGCTGGTGTACGGCAATCTTTAAGTCATTCCACATATTCTCAATTGGATTGAGGTCTGGGCTTTGACTAGGCCGTTCCAAGACATTTAAATGTTTCCCCTTAAACCACTCCCCTTAAACCACCCCTTAACTCAGTATGCTTAGGGTCATTGTCCTGCTGGAAGGTGAACCTTTGTCCCAGTTTCAAATCTCTGGAAGACTGAAACAGGTTTCCATCAAGAATTTCGCTGTATTTAGCGCCATCCATCATTCCTTCAATACTGACCAGTTTCCCAGTCCCTGCCGATGAAGAACATGGTGTTATTGGGGTGATGAGAGGTGTTGGGTTTTTCCAGACATAGTGTTTTCCTTGATGGCCAAAAAGCTCAATTTCAAATCAAATCAAATCAAATCGTATTTGCCACATGCGCCGAATACAACAGGTGTAGACATTACAAAAAATGCTTACTTACAAGCCCTTAACCAACAATGCAAAGTAAAACAAATAAAAAAAGTGTTAAGCAAAAAAAAAAAATCTGCAAATAACTAAAGAGCAACAGTAAAATAAAATAACAGTAGGGAGTCTATATACAGGGGTGTACCGGTGCAGAGTCAATGTGCGGGGGCACCGGCTAGTCGAGGTAATTGAGGTAATATGTACATGTGGGTAGAGTTAAAGTGACTATGCATAAAAAATAAACAGAGTAGCAGCAGAGTAAAAAAGGGGGACGGGGTGGGGTTGGGGGGGCAGTGTAAATTGTCCGGGTAGCCATTATTAGCTGTTCAGGAGTCTTATGGCTTGGGGGTAGAAGCTGTTGAGAAGCTTTTTGGACCTAGACTTGGTGCTCCGGTACCGCTTGCCATGTGGTAGCAGAGAGAACAGTCTATGACTAGGGTGGCTGGAGTCTTTGACAATTTTGAGGGCCTTCCTCTGACACCGCCTGGTATAGAGGTCCTGGATGGCAGGAAGCTTGGCCCCAGTGATGAACTGGGCCGTACGCACTACCCTCTGTAGTGCCTTGCGGTCGGAGGCCGAGCAGTTACCATACCAGGCGGTTATGCAACCAGTCAGGATGCTCTTGATGGTGCAGCTGTAGAACTTCTTGAGGATCTGAGGACCCATGCCAAATGTTTTCAGTCTCCTGAGGGGGAATAGGCTTTGTCGTGCCCCTCTTCACGACTGTATTTTATCTCTGAGGGAAGGGTCCTTCATCCTTATTATACAACAAAGATGATATGAAACCCAGGCTGTGTCTGTCTTGTTAGACCATTATACAGTGCATTTGTATTCAAACCCCTTGACTTTTTCCACATTTTGTTACGTTACAGCCTTTTTCTAAAATTGATTAAATCGGGTTTTTTTCCCATCATCAATCTACACACAATACCCCATAATGAAAAAGCAAAAAAACAGGTTTTTAGAAATTGTAGCAAATTGTTTAAAAATAAAAAACGGAAATATAACATTTTCATAAGTATTCAGAATCTTTACTCAGTACTTTGTTGAACCACCTTTGGCATCGATTACAGCATTGAGTCTTCTTGGGTATGAAGCTACAAGCTTGGCACACCTGTATTCAAAAAAATAATAATTTATGCACGCATGACTGTAAGTCGCTTTGGATAAAAGCGTCTGCTAAATGGCATATTATATTATATTATATTATATTATATATTATATTATATTATTATATTATATATTATTATATATATTCTGGGAGTTTCTCCCATTTTTCTCTGCAGATCCTCTCAAGCTCTGTCAGGTTGGATGGGGAGCGTTGCTGCACAGCTATTTTCAGGACTCTCCAGAGATGTTCGACCGGGTTCAAGTCAGGGCTCTGGCTGGGCCACTCAGGGACATTCAGAGACATGTCCTGAAGCCACTCCTGCGTTGTCTTGGCTGTGTGCTTAGGGTCGTTGTCCTGTTGGAAGGTGAACCTTCGCCCCAGTCTGAGGTCCTGAGCGCTCTGAAGCAGGTTTTAATCAAGGATCTCTCTGTACTTTGCTCCATTCATCTTACACTCGATCCTGACTAGTCTCCCAGTCCCTGCCACTGAAAAATATCCCCACAGCATGATGTTGCCACCACCATTCTTCATTCAGGCCAAAGAGTTCAATCTTGGTTTCATCAGACCAGAGAATCTTGTTTCTCAAGGTCTGAGAGTCTTTAGGTGCCTTTTGTCAAACTGTAATGTGCATTTTACTGAGGAGTGACTTCCATCTGGCCACTCTACCGTAAAGGCCTGATTGGTGGAGTGCTGCAAAGATGGTTGTCCTTCTAGAAGGTTCTCCCATCTCCACAGAGGAACTCTGGAGCTCTGTCAAAGTGACCATCGGGTTCTTGTCACTGACCAAGGCCCTTCTCCCCTATTGCTCAGTTTGGCCGGGCAGCCAACTCTAGGAAGAGTCTTGGTGGTTCCAAACTTATTCCATTTAAGAATGATGGAGGCCACTGTGTTCTTGGGGATCTTCAACGATGCAAACAATTTTTGGTACCCTTCCCCAGATCTGTGCCTCGACACAATCCTGTCTCGGAGCTCTAAGGACAATTCCTTTGAACTCATGGCTTGGTTTTTCCTCTGACATGCACTGTCAGCTGTGGGACCTTATATAGAAGAAACATCCCAAGGATGATCAATGGAAACAAGATGCACCTGACATCAATTTGGAGTCTTGTAGCAAAGGGTCTGAATACTTATGTAAACAAGGTATGTTTTTTTGTTTGTTTTTTACAAATTTGCAAAAATCTCAATAAAACTGTTTTCACTTCGTCATTATGGGGTATTGTGTGTAGATTGATGAGGGACAAATACAATTTAATCAATTTTAGAACAAGGCTGTAACATAACAAAATGTGGAAAAAGTCAAGGGGTCTGAATACAGGCACGCAGACAGACAGAGAAAGCCAGTGTATAGCCAACATACATTTCCATGAACTCAGCCATTCCTTTATGAAGAATATGAACTCTTCTACATGATGCTGGTTTGATTTGAGTCATTACTTTGTGTTCCTGTGAACACCTGTCCTTGAACCCTATTCCCTACATAGTAAACTACTTTTGACTAGAGCCCTATGTTTAGGTCCTCCACCTTGTCCTTTATCCCTGAGGGAAGGGTCCTTTATCCCAGAGGGAAGAGTGTTTTATCCCTGAGGGAAGAGTATTTTATCCCTGAGGAAAGAGTGTTTTATTTTACATTTTACATTTTAGTCATTTAGCAGACGTTCTTATCCAGAGCGATTTACAGTTAGTGAGTGAATACATTATTTTTTATTTTATTTTTCATACTGGCCCCCTTTTATCCTTGATGGAAGGGTCCTTTATTCTGGAGGGAGGATTGTTTTATCCCTGAGGGAAGGGTCCTTTATCTCTGAGGGAAGCATACTTTATTTATCCCTGGGAGAAGGGTCCTTTATCTCTGAGGGAAGAGTACTTTATCCCTGAGGGATGGGTCCTTTATCTCTGAGGGAAGGGTCTTTTAATTATCCCAGAGGGAAGAGTCCTTTATCCCTGGAGGAAGGGTACTTTATCCCTGGGGGAAGGGTCCTTTATCTCTGAGGGAAGGGTCCTTCATCCTTATTATACAACAAAGAGGATATGAAACCCAGGCTGTGTCTGTCTTGTTAGACCATTATACAGTGCATTTGTATTCAAACCCCTTGACTTTTTAAGCATTAATTTACGTTACAGCCTTATTTTAAAATGTATTAAATAGTTTTTTCCCCTCATCAATCTACACACAATACCTCATAATGACAAATCAAAACAGGGTTTTAGAAATTGTAGCAAATTTATATATATAAAAAAAGGAAATATAACATATACATAAGTATTCAGACCCTTTACTCAGTGCTTTGTTGATGCACCTTTGGCAGAGATTACATCATCGAGTCTTCTTGGGTTTGACTCTACAAGCTTGGCACACCTGTATTTGGGGAGTTTCTCCCATTTTCCTCTGCAGATCCTCTCAAGCTCTGTCAGGGTGGATGGAGAGCGTCGCTGCACAACTATTCTCAGGTCTCTCCAGAGATGTTCGACCGGGTTCAAGTCCAGGCTCTGGCTGTGCCACTCAGGAACATACAGAGACTTGTCCTGAAGCCACTCCTGCGTTGTCTTGGCTGTGTGCTTAGGGTCGTTGTCCTGTTGGAAGGTGCACATTCGCCCCAGTCTGGGTTCCTGAGCACTCTGGAGCACGTTTTAATCAAGGATCTCTCTGTACTTTGCTCCATTCATCTTTCCCTCAATCCCGACTAGTCTCCCAGTCCATGCCGCTGAAAAACATCCCAACAACATGATGTTGCCACCACCATGCTTAAATCAGGCCAAAGAGTTCAATCTGGGATTCATCAGACCAGAGAATTGTGTTTCTCATGGTCTGAGATTATTTAGGTGCCGTTTGGAAAACTCCAAGCGGGCTGTCATGTGCCTTTTACTGAGGAGTGGCTTCCGTCTGGCCACTCTATCTTAATGGCCTGATTGGTGGAGTGGTGCAGAGATAGTTGCCCTTCTTGAAGGTTCTCCCATCTTCACAGACGAACTCTGGAGCTCTGTCAAAGTGACCATCGAGTTCTTGGTCACCTCCCTGACCAAGGGCCTTCTCCACTATTGCTCAGTTTGGCCGGGCAGCCAGCTCTAGGAAGAGTCTTGGTGGATCCAAACTTCTTCCATTTAAGAATGATGGAGACCACTGTGTTCTTGGGGACCTTCAATGTTGCAGACATTTTTTGATACCCTTCCCCAGATCTGTGCCTCGACACAATCCTGTCTAGGAGTTAAGGATAATTCCTTCGACCTCATGGCTTGTGTTTTGCTCTGACATGCGCTGTCAGCTGTGGGACCTTATATAGACAGGTGTGTGCCTTTCCAAATAATGTTGAATCAATTGAAATTACCACAGGTGGACTCCAATCAAGTTGTAGAAACATCTCAAGGATTATCAATGGAAACAGGATGCACCTGACCTCAACTTGGAGTCTCGTAGCAAGGGGTCTGAATACTTATGTAAATAAGGTATGTTTTTTTGTTTGTTTTTTACACATTTGCAAAATCTCAAAATAATTGTTTTTGCTTTGTCATTATGGGGTATTGTGTGTAGATTGATGAGGGAAAAAAACAATTTAATCAATTTTAGAACAAGTTTGTAACGTTAAAAAATGTGGAAAATGATAAGGGGTCTGAATACTTTCTGAATGCACTGTAAATGGCCAAGTGGGTAACAGCAAGGCCAAGGTCTTTAGTGATGTCTCAGCGCTGACTAACCATTAGCTGTCTGTCAACGACACTGGGATTTACATAGAACAACATGAACTGCTTTAGTGCCACTGCACCAGTTGTATAACGCTCATAGACACTTAGCCTACCTACCTGTCTCTTTCTGACCTGTGTTCAATACTCACCTACCTGTCTCTCTTACCTGTGTTCAATACTCAGCTACCTGTCTCTATCTTACTTCTGTTCAATACTCACTTACCTGTCTCTTTCTTACCTGTGTTCAATACACACCTACCTGTCTCGTTCTTACCTGTGTTCAATACTCACCTACCTGTCTCTATCTTACCTGTGTTCAATACTCACCTACCTGTTTCTATTTTACCTGTGTTCAATACTCACCTACCTGTCTCTTTCTTACCTGTGTTCAATACTCACCTACCTGTCTCTATCTTACCTGTGTTCAATACTCACCTACCTGTCTCTTTCTGACCTGTGTTCAATACTCACCTACCTGTCTCTATCTTACCTGTTTTCAATACTCACCTACCTGTCTCTTTCTTACCTGTGTTCAATACTCACCTACCTGTCTCTTTCTTACCTGTATTCAATACTCACCTACCTGTCTCTGTCTTACCTGTGTTCAATACTCACCTACCTGTCTCTACGCGTAACATTTACACTTCTATACAAAATACTAGGCTCCTGTCAATTATATTGTTGCCTATGTCCGAGACACATTGTCAAAACAATCTGCCATTAATATGGCATTATAGGAGGACAGAATAGTTTGGAGGAGCGGGTCTTTGGTAATCGGACGAGGGGCGCTCTTTGAAAATGGGGATGGATAGCCTACTTGATCAAGTGAAATTAAGTATGCAGGTATGTGAATTGTGAATCATGAAAAAGCATGAGGGCAAAAAACCTCCAAAATATTTCAAGGCACTCTCAGCAGACCATTTAAAACCCCTTCAGGTTTCAGGCCGAGTTGATAATTATCTCTGGAATACTTTTCATCCTGGCCGGTATTCTCATCCTCATCCCTGTTTCCATGGTAGCCAGATCAATCATCAGTTACTCCTCCAAGTGGATCGGAGGGAAGACTGAACTGGGGGCCTCGCTGTACTTCGGCTGGGGGGCGGCCGCCCTGCTCCTGATTGGAGGTTTCATACTGTGTATCACTGTGGGAGTCTTTGGATGGATGATGAGAATCTGTGAATGGGGAGTCTCTCTAGTGCCCTGTTTTATCACTTGATTGTGGCACCTATAGGGATGTACGGATGGATATGCTGAAGATCACCTCCATCTCCACCATCCTGGGAGCTCTAGGAGTGATGGGGTCCATCTTTGGGACCAAGTGCTGTAACTGCATCAAGAGTAACAGGACCAGGGTCAAGGCCAGGTTCATCGTTGGAATATTCTTCATCCTGGCAGGTATCCTGCAGCTCACCACTATCTTATTTTTCTATTAATTGACACAGAATATTCCAGAATACCGGTGGGAGGTTTTGTTCTTTTCCACTGAATTCTGTAGATGGTCCGCCTCCATGCTCCTGATAGGAGGGACCATACTCTGCTGCAGCACCTTGAAGAGGAAGAACCCAGACTCAACAACGACTAAATCAACCTCCCACTAATATCTCTGTCCAGAAGCTGTACGTTCTTGAAATAAAAACCATAGGGATCCAATAATTGTGATTCTATACGTAATTCTATGAGGAAAAATTGCCTCTATCCTATCTGTTCAATGTTAGAATATCGGAAGGGACTAGATAGGTGTCAAAGCAACATAGTTATTGTTCCACCTTCTCTTTAACAGGTCAAAGGGGAGTTTATGACATATTGTGTTCAAATATTCAGTTAATTTAGACTGTGAGAAGTTGTTCCTGAGGAGACTACAATGAAGGGACATATCAGTACGCAAGCTTTCCTGTTGCTGCTG